CGCCATGGTACCAAAACCTCAGGGCCAGATGGCGTTTTTGAAAAGCCTCCATCGGGTTGATACGAGGTGTCTCTGCAGAGCACCTCGACTCCCGGGGCGAGTGGAGGTTTTGTTTTCTGGCTTCAGGAGTTTGGAATGCCTGGGGCGCCCGCCGCGCACGCGGCCCTGGGTCTGTCTGGCTCCCGGGTCCAGTCTTTGGGCAGCCGCGGTGGAAACCTCAGTCCCTTCTTCTCCGCTGGCTTTTAGTTACAGTGTGTGGACAAAGACTGAGCGGTGCTCACCGACGGCCCGATGTAAGGCGACACCGTCCGGACATTGCAGGCACCTCTTGTCTTGCCGCTGGCGGTCGACAGCACTCTAAACAGGCTCAGTGGGGGCGTTGGAGGGACAGAAAAGTTACTGTAGCCCCCTGCAATCCCTGGATGTTGCTGTAGTCTGAGCCAGAGCTGCACAGGGCATTTTCCCTCCCCTGTCCTTTCTCTCTCTGGAATGGGCTGATGAGGCAGGAGATCTGAGTGCGGAATATCTGTCCATTTGTCTGGGTGGGTCTAGTGGGGCCCTGTCTCTGCAGCAGATAGATGTGGTCTGGGCTGTGGCCCCTATCGCTGCCCAGCAGGGTGGCCTTCGGCCTCACACCCTCTCAAGACCCTCAGTGTCCTCAGTCCCAGGATTATGGTGATGACTCAGAAAGAACAAGGCCAAGCAAGAGCAGGGGAGCTTCTGGAGGAAGCCCCAGAGGTGATGTGGCTTGCATTGTCTGGGAAGACAGAGTGGCTCTGTCGGGGAGATTCCAACTGTGACTGGGCAGGGGTTTCCACTCTGGCTGTATGGAGATTTGGAGATTGGCCAGAGTTGTCACCTCTTGACAAGCCACAGTCAGAATACAGAAAGAATGGTTGCTCTTCAGGATTGGGAATATTGCAGAGTCTTTCTTCTGCATCTAGAGAACCTTCCTGAGTGGCCTGTCTTGGAGGCCTTCAAGCCCTCCTGTGTCTTCAGATCCTTTTAGAGCCTTTGAGTTCTTGTGTGCAGGGTCACTGCCACTAACATGCCCAGATGAGCTAACTTCATGCCTCTGAGCCCTGACCGCCTCACCAGGCTGGATTTTCTGAAGGAGTCTGAGTAAAACTGCCAAGGCCAGGGCTAGTAGCCCTTCAAAGAGCAGTAGAGGACCATCGCTTTCGCTGCTTGGCCTCATTTGACTAGAAGGCTAGGAAAAGAAGAGAGGATAAAGGGGCGGGGGGCAGCCTGACCATGCATCTCAACTTAGTTGCCTGGTTCTGGGTAGTTTGGGTAACTTTACCTCCCCAAGTTCAGTTCTTCTCTGGACAGTGGAGATAGACGCATGGCTACTTCACAAGACTGGGATGAGCTGTAAGACTCACAAGTGGTCTTGAGACACTCAGCACATCACCTGTGGAAGGAAGTGGGCCTCTGTTACCCCAACCTGTCAGAGCTATTATTTCCTTGGTCTAGAAATGAGGTGGGTACCCTTAGGCCCTGTGAATTTCTCCCCCATCCTACTGTTCCCAGAAAAGTTTATATTCCCTGAGAAGACCTTGAAAGCAGAGGTGAGGCATGGACATAGTCAGAACTCTGCAAGCTTGAGTCCACAAGCACCGTGCCTGTGCTTCCCACCCCAGGGGTTTTCTGGATGCTAAGGCAATTCATAAACCAAGTTGTCATCCAGGAGTGTAGGCTTGTGGAAGTTACCAGCTATGTATGTGTGCAGCTGAGGCCCGGATCCTAGTGATACCAGGTAAGAGATATCTCAAAAGTAGTTAGGGATGCCATCAGCATGTCCCAGTTAAAGAGCTCCGTCTGTACTCGGGGATCTTCAGAACAGCTGCTCTCTGCTGGCTGTACGCCACCGGAGGAATTAGCCACACCTGTTCCCAACACCTACACTCTTCACTTGACACTAAAGGAAATGGGGGTGGAGCCCTGTGTTCCAAAGGGGCCTTTGAGGCAACAGCTCAGCACGTAGACGAGGTGTCTGCACAGCGCAGGGGCCACTAGACATGCTGTGGAGCCAGAGAGTTGTCCTTTATGATCAGGATTGGTGTGGCTGACAGGCTCCCTGGAGATTTGGACTCTGCCCAGCATACCTAGTCCTGTCTCTTCCCCTTTCCCTGCAACTCCAGGACTGACCAAGCGAGACCCAGGACAGGGCTTCTAGCTCAGGCACATCACACATTTGGTCCTGTGTATTGTGTGGGTACAGAGCTACACGGAGTAGGTTGTTTCTGGTTTTATTCCTCCTTTAAAAGAGACAAGCCCGGGGCATGGGAGGGAGGCCCTGATCTCGCCTGGCTCACATCCCATCCTATCACATCACGTCCTTTTCCTCCACTCACTTTACCCACTTTCCAGATGGGGAAGACAAGGCAGGTGAGCCCGGGACCCCAGAACCTTCCTGACATAGTGCCAGGCTTAGCCTTCCTCTGTCACTCTTTCAGAGGCCGTGACTGTCACCAGAAGAGAGCAAGCTGGGTAGTATCCCAAAATGCGACATCTTACATCCCGCCTGTGGTAATTAGCAATGTTCCCTGGCTTCAGCCAGAGAATGTCATTATGTGGTCTGGCAGGCAGTTGAAATCCGATTAGAGGGGCCTTACTCCCCAGGGCTATGGCAGGTGTTCCAAGTTGGCAGCCTTGGTTCTCCACCCCTCTAATGTTCTTGGGCCCCAACCCCATCTCTGGGCAGAGTGGAAAAGCAGCATTCATGGCCTTGGCCTCCAGTCAGGTCAGGAGCCAGCATCCTGTGGGAGGAGTTCACAGTCCCTGCATACTGCCCTTGGCAGGTAACCCCAAGAAAGTGGAAGATGAGGCCAGTGGATGGTGTGCTCCTGGACAGGTTTGAGTGGGGGGCATGACCATTCTGAGGAATGCTGCCAGGGTTCCCACACACCTGTGTCTGATAGAGCATAGTAGCCAGCCTGGAAGAGACACAGGTTCAGTATCTGTGGAGCACTGCAGATGATAGTT